CATACGCCATTATGTACTGCACATTCGGGCAAATGGAAAATATGCACACAAACCCATCATGCTTTCAAACGATGTGGGTATACGCCATTTATGTACTGCACATTCGGGCAAATGGAAAATATGCACACAAACCCATCATGCTTTCAACCGGATGCAGGTATACGCCATTTACGCACTGCACATTCGAGCAAATGGAAAATATGCACATTCATATGTATAAGGCGATTGCTAACGGACATCATTGTCTTTCAAACTATCCAAAATGAGCTTTTGTTAGATGGTCAAAAAGCCCTCTTAAAAAAACTGCCAGATTTCAGATTAAGTCTTGTAATTTAAAAACGAAAACAAACCCATGAATTTCTAGAAATTTGATCAAATTCGAGATTCAAATTTCAGAAAATATTCTCATTTTAAATTAAAATGGAAATTATAAAAAATTGGAATTATTTTAATCAAGGAAAAGTTTTTGGTGTATTGGGTAACACAACTCAATATGCACCAAGCATCCATCTTAAAACTAACAGTAAAACATTGTCCTTAAAAAATATCATTTTTTATTTTTAAAATCTATTTTCTTAAGGGTGCGGTTTGTGTAAAGCCTAGGCTCTAAACAATCAAACTAGAGCCTAACTTCAAATAGTGTCCAAAAATTTGGTTTCAATATAGAAAGCTTACCTTCAAATAGAGTCGAGAAATGTGATTTCAATATTGGAAATCTTTGTGATAGCCTTAAAATATATTTTCATATTTCTTTATAAAGTTTAAAGCTTAAAAAATAGTTTTGATCAACAGATATATCAAAACTTGAAAATCATGAAAATTGGCAGTCCAAGTTTATGTTACAAATACACTATTTCCAAAACTTGAAATCTATTTTTTCTTGTGTCCATGCATCTTGATGTCGAGATGATCAATTTAAAGATATTTGGTGATCAATTTGAAGATATTTGGACATCAAACCAACCTCTTCTAGTGAAATTTTTACGGTAGGCTCAAATTTGATTGTTTAGAGCCTCGCTCTATATAAACTTTCCCCTTTTTTTAAATATCAATGATCCCCATCCCCATGTTCGAGACTATATATTCTAAAAAAATGGAGAGAGAACACACATCTACATATGAGTCAGCGGACTCATATAACCCATGTCCTTTAATCAAACATATGCCATCAACATGAAGTCCATATGCACGCTGTTTGGAATGTGCATAAGTCATGAGCCTCATATGCATCCACCTCATTATACAGAGTTTGGTATGGAGTTGTGGACGCGCTTATCTCTAATAATTTGGTGGCCTTTTAAAGGTTCAACATAAGTTATTAGGGACGGGGGTAAATCATGGAGTTGTGGATGCGCATATCTCCAATAATTTGATGGACTTTTTAAAGGTTCAACATAAGTTATTAGGGACAGGGGTAAATCATTAAAAGTTGTTTCTCCCCATCCTCAAAAGGGCAGCACTTCGACGTACCGGCATTCAAACTGGATGGAGAATGATTGCGAAATCATTGAACAAGCATCTGAACTCTGTTCTTCATTTGCTCCATTATGACCACGTCATTCAGAAAAAACCAGAAACTGAAATTTGGACCCTCTTTCTAAAACAAGTCCACATCTCTTTATTCATTGGAAGTGATAAGCACTAATGAAGGAATTAGTAACCATGAAGGATAAGTGCTAATGAACAACCAACAATGCAACTGTTAGATTTATTGTCAAAAAAGGGAAAAAAAAGTATCATATTGAATCGCTCTATATTTATTGTTGGTTGCACAAATGAGGTCCTCATAGACTACATAACACCTTTAAAAGGTTTCTCTAGCATATTTTCTCATTGAGGAAAGCTGGATCTCAAATAACATAAAGTTCTGAGATGAACTAGGTTGTAGTTCATTTTTCCTGCTCAAGGAAGCCTGTTATCGAGCCCAGGTCAAATGATTAAGATGAAGAGATGCAAAATCTCAAGGCTTGGATTTGCATCTTAGCATTAGAGCACTATAATTAACCATTGCCTCGAGTTAATGTTTCAAATTACAGTTCTCCTGTGCCATGCTTCATTTCTGTTTAGCAGCATAATGCCTAACACAGCCAAACAGCTAGTAAAATTACAGAGAAGTCCTTAATGACCTCATTCGCTTCTTCTACAATGTATTATACACATTAGTAGCGAAAGAAAAATCTCACCATGGATTGTCAACTGATCCACCACCCTCTAACTTTTTCACACTCCAAAACTCTCCAATCTCATAAACATTCTCTTCCTCCTCTTCAATGACCTCTTGCCAATCCTCCCCAATTCCAGACTCCCATAAATCTCTAAAACCAAATCCATCATCATCATCGTCAACATCATCACTATCACCATAATCAGCTTCATCATCTTCACCATCCCCATCACCACCACCATAAAGTTTCTCTCTCTTCATCCTCTTCCCTTCCCTAACCAGTTCCATCAGCCTCTCTTTAGCACCCAAAAGCTCATCCTTGTCCAACAACTCCCTCCTCTCATAAGCCTCTGTCAAAAACACAGAGTCCCTCAGTCCTTTGAGGGATACATAAAACATCTCGGGATGTCTCACTAGCATAGCCCTCAACCTATTTGGTAATCCAAAATCCTTTCTAAAATGTGTTAAATGATCCACCAAGGTCCTCTTCTCCATTGTGAGGCCCAACACCTCACGGACCACCCCACATGCTCTCTTCTCAGCCTCCATTGTAAAGGGCTTAAACTCTTTGGCATCTGAATAAGGGGAGACTTGATTCATCTCCTCAAACTTAAACAAGTAATCCCTATGCTTTCTCTTCAAATTCAACCCTTTTTGCAACCACAGCTGTTTGAACTTTGGAGGCCGGTCTATAATGAGATCATCCCTAGCTCTTCTCTTTTGTGGGATTGGGGTTGCAAGAATTGGGTCCCAAGACACAAGCTCTAAGGCTAGACCATAGCTGGTATCTATGACTTTGAAGTATTGGGGGTATTTTTGGCAGAGTTTAGAGCGAAAGTCAATGGGGAGGCCAAGGTCAGGACCAAGATGGACAAGCTTAGAGAGAAGTAGGCGCCTGTGTTGTGAGAGCATAAGTAGCTTGCGCAGCTTAAGGACAAGTTGGCCTTCTATTTGGGCTTTGAGAGATGATTCTTGGGCATAGAGCTCAAAGGCAGCAGGCGTGAGAGTGACTGAGAGAGAATGAGAGGAGTCTGGGTTATGAAAGAGGTGGAAGATGGAGGGGTAGCGTCTGATCATGAGGAGGAGGCGGCGACGAGGGATACCAAGATAAGGGAGACATTTGGAGAGAGTGTGTAGAGAAAGAAAATGTTGGGGTTTGGACAGGAGGAGGGTCTTTAGCTTGGTTATGAACCTCAGCTTGTTCTTCTTCTTAACCAAGTTGTCTAGTGGGCGGTAAGGAATGGGTTTGAGAGCAAGCGAGATTGGGGGATTGGGTTTTGGAGTTGATTTGCAGGTGGTTGTGTGTTGTTTTAGAAGATGGAAGCTTGAGGGAACAAATGAAGTTTTGTTAGACAGAAGAGAGCAGCTTCTTTTGGAAAAAGAGATTTGTGAAGTATTATTAGGAAGCAATTGGGATAGACTAACCATCATCATGCGTTGCGGTGCCTGTGTGATTTCAATGGAGGAAAAAGGTCAGTCTCACAAAATTGAGGGTGTGCTTCAAATAAAAAATTCTCAGCTATTTGCACTCAAAATCTCAAGAGTTCTTAAAATATCAAATCATTGAAATAAAAACCATCCAGAACTCAACAAGACAAACAATGTGAAATATCAATCTAAACATGCCTGACACTCTACCACGTCAAGTAATTTTACTCTGTTCTCAACAAATGTATTGCGCCATTTGTGATCAATAAAGAAGAAATAGCTGTAGTGTCTGATCTTCCTAAATAAGACCGAATGAGTGATATTTTGGATCAACTCCTCCCATCTTCCTATGGCGTACAAAAGAGATCCATTTTCCAAAAGTTTTAAAAAGAAATGAAAATACGCATATATTACGTTATCTTATGAAAAGAGGTCCATATTCCAAAACCTCATTGTCTCGAGAACTGATCGCCCCTAGAACAAAACCAAGAGGGTGGTATGGTTTTGAATAACATAATCAATAGAATGGAACATGAACAGCTCCTACAAGTACTTCATATGGGAATTTCATTGAACAGTTGGAAGCACATATCTTTCAAGGCTTCACTTGTTTCTGAATGATATACAAATGCACAAAAGCAAGTATTGAATTTCACAAGACAATCGAAAGTACCGAACTCAAATTTTAAAACAGAACCAACATTACAAAAATTTACAGAAACCTGTATGAATACAATCGTTGCACAGAAACTTGTATGAATACTCTCACCTCAGATCCCCCAATTAGAGAAAGCCTCCATATCCAAGCACAGCAATGTAGAAACCAAATTAGCGGCAAGTTTTGGGAGGTTTTCTGCGATGAACATGGCGTCGACACTACTGGTGCATACAAAGGAGACTCTCTATTGTAGATAGAGAGAGTGAAGGTTTATTACAATGAAGCGAGCAGAGGCCACTAAGTTCCAAGAGCTGTGTTGGTGGACCTTGAACTAGGCACCATGGATAGCCTGAGAACATGTTCTATTCGTCGAATTTTCAGGCCTGATAACCTTTGTTTTTGGGCCAAATGGAGCTGGGAACAATTGGGACCATGGGGCCTTGATGCAGAGGGGCCAGAGCTCATTGATGCCTATGCTTGATGCGGTCAAGGAGATTAAGAATTGGACCCACCCCCCTCTCTCTCTCCAAATGATTTCTTACTTCGTTAACGGGTGACTTGGCACCCCCAAATGTCATCGAAATATTGAGAGAGATCTGACGGTAATAGAAGGAGGTCCGAGGGGATCATATGATCATTACTCATGACTATTTATCCCGGAAAGATCATATCAGACCTATCAAGTGTACAAAACTTCAAAGGATCATTACTAATTTGACATAAATCTTTAAAAAAATTTATAATATGGGTGTGGGACTTGATTTTTTTAGATATCTGTACTAAATTTAATGATGATCGTTTGAAATTTTATACACGCAAGTGTAGGAGGGTCTTACAAAGTCATTTCCCTTACTTATTCATAATGAGATCACACTTGGCTATTAGTTGTTGGATGATTTGAGGTGCGTGACAACGGTTCGAAAAAATTCTTTTTGAATTTTAAATCTAATTAATGATATGTTTATAATCACCTCATTTGAAATCCAAAGGACAAGTGCCGTAGTCTTAAAAGTAAATAGACTCTTTATATACTTTTGCCCATACATCTAATCATTTTCGAAACGGGAAAATTAGCCGGTCATGCACCATCTGCCACCTCAAAACGTCCTCGTCCATGAGTACATGACAAAATCAATAATGAGGCAAAGTTGTTCAAAGGTGGTTTTTAGTGTGACAATAGTATATGTATGGTGGCTGCTTTATTTGTAAAAATAAGATTGCAATCCTTTATTCTATGAAAAGAAAAAAAAAGATTGCAATGCTTTGTATCGTTTATTTTATTTGGATACTATTGTAAAAGACATCCTATGTATTGCTATTGTCTTAAAATATCAAATCTACTTTAACTTTATCGAATTTGAAGCATCCAAAATGGTGCATATTTGACGAATCTTTGAAGAGTTGAAATGTTCCATCTAAAAAAATGTAATGCAAGATGTACTATCTTTACGGTTTGCAATCTTTTATTTATTTATTTATTTTTTTTGAGAAAATTGCATGAGTTCCCCTACATTGAAGTTCCTACACGTAGGAAGCCAAACTATTTCTATTTTTATACAAAATACCTTAGTACTTAAATGAAGATGCCCCTTATAGTCAAATACTTCGAAGTTTTAAATTTTATTTTACCTCCATTCATTTTTTTAAACCAAAGTCAAGGTTAGTTTGGCAAGAATTTAGCACAAGTAGCCTCAACAAAGAATTTTCAATCGAGGCTAATCAACTTTCCAAGGGATGAACCTTTAGTTCAATACAATGTACAGAGGTGGGTATGGACTCGAAGTGCCAAATTGATTTTAGGTTTCAAATTTAAACTTATACTATGAAATGTTTAACAATTATAGGCATTTTTATCTAAAATGACAACTATAGACCACATGATGGAAGGAAGCTTCAAAATCCCTAAGAAGGATCAAGATTTCATCCATAAGACTACTAAGCCGCCATTGGGTGGTGTCTAGAACCAGCTAATCACTGCAGAGTCACCTTCAATGATAACTCTAGGGAACGAAAGGTCCAATTTAGATATTCCCATATTCATGATCCATAGCTCATCTTCATTAATTTTACAAGGATGAAGCCTCCTAAAATAAGTCCAAATCGTAGACCTGAGATGGTATCTAAGAAGGCCCCCATAGTCAGCAACCTGACCCTTCCCACTGCCGTCAAAATTAAGCCTAACTCATCCTTCAGGAAGGGTATTCCAAACATAGCCCAAGGAAGTGCGGCTAGGTTTGAAAAGCATCAAGTATCTATAATACATGAAGAATAAGTCCTTGTGTACTGCTTTAACGGGGAGGAAGGAGTAAGTCCAAGCCACAATGGAGCGCTGGACCGCTGAGAGGAAAGACTGCATATCTCTACTGCAACCTTCAAAGGTCCTCAAGTTTTGTTCCTTCTAGAGGTTCCATAACAAAGTTGCAACAAAAATTCTCCACAATTTAGTTCTTAAAGGCGAGAAAGAAGGAGCCCATTGCTGTTGTAGCAGAGCATGAACATCCCTAGGCCTAGGCCCAATCGAATTAGCACTATCCACCAACCATTCCCACATAGCTACCACAAAGGGGCAATGGATGAATAAATGATCAATGGACTCCTCATCACATTTGCAAAGAAGGCGTATATTAGTGAGTATCATACCCTTTCTTCAAAGGCGATCAATAGTGAGAAGCCTCACGAGGTCTAGTAGCCAAAAAAGAGTCTTAACTCTATGTGGCACTTTGCAATTCCATACTTCAGTCACCGAAGGCCAATCTTCAATATATTAATCCCTACTTACAATTTAGTAAAGTGATCTCCTGAAAAAGAAACCATATTGGCAACCAATTTCTGTTTTTGCATGGACCTTCTATACAGCGCTCCGTATAATAGCTTCAAGGGGCACTCATTCAACCATTTGGCATGCCTAAAGCGAGTCCAGTATCCATCACTCAATAGAATCCTTGAATAATCAAGGAACAGAGGCCTAACTCCTTGAATCCCCTTCTAGATAGGAGACAGGATTAGCCAGTCCGGGCAGCGCTCATGGTACAACGCATTGAACGTTCATCAACTCACCCAAAACGCCATCTCTTCCAAATTAAAATAGAGTTTGCCCTTCCTAACTCACTACTAACAAAATACTTATTTTCTAAAAGAAAGTCATCTGAACCTTTTCAATCGCGTTTCTATCACAATCAAATTAATTTCACCAAAGTATGACAAGAGATTCCTTATTTAAAATGACAACACAGAGGGCACGGACGTGTTCAAAAGCAAAGCCACCCACAAAAACTGCAAATGCAAATCCCCCATACAGATTGTCCATCTGCTCCATCGGGTAAAACTGTCCAAATATATATAAAAAGCGAGAGAGCGGACTGCAAACAATCTAACATGCATTCCTAAAATATACAACACTTGAAACATCTTCTCAGAGATGTAATGCATCAAGATCTTAGGGGTGATAGAGAGCAATTCATCTTTTTACAATCGTGAAAACACGAGATATTATGGCATCGAGATAAGAGACACGGAAATCTCCTCTGAATCACAAGGCATCTAACAACATACAAAGCTTCCTACTCCAACACCAGCAAGAGAGAGAAAGTACACAATCGACTACGTGAGACCAAATAATGGTACACTTGAATTTGCTTTCAGCTTCAGAGTGTCACAAGGACATGCACAAGTGGCATCAAAATTTTAGAGAGAGTCCCTTCCCTGAACCCGTGACCCATACCAACACAAAAAGCTTCCCACTCGAACCCCAACATTGAAATAACCCACTTTAACATCATCCAAGCCTCTCCCTCTCCCTCTCTACCTCTCGTGTATGAAAGAAAAATCACAACCAAAGACTACCAAAAGCCTCCATAACAGCCCTCCTCTTACTAATCTCCACAGTCCATCCACCCGCCCTTGCACCCCTCTCAGCACGAAGTTTCAGCGTGACCTCATCTTCTGCCATGGAAGCGTCAGGGATGCCCTTAATGGGCACTGGCTGTGGAGCAGTACCCATAGGTCTCGGCTGCATGAATGCTCCCCCCCCTGCCATAGCAGGTGCATACTGCCCCTGCATACTAGCAGCAAATTGCGTGTTTTGGGCTCCTGTCTGCAATGAGAGATTCATTCATATGAAAACACACATCACTTCATGTGGTAAAATTTAATGAGAAACTGTACTGATTACTTGGGCAAAAAGAAAGCAGAATCTAATAGAGAATGATACTACCAGCTTAATGCTCTCTCTCTCTCTTTCTCCCCCTCTCTCTCCCTCTCTTTCTCAAACACACACACGGGGAAAACATAATATTTTTTAAAGCTGTGAAAGAAAATCCAGTATGTGTGTGTGCACGTTTATATTCTAGCAAAACACTGTGCATGCAAATGCACAATGGGGAACATGGTAGGTTGCTCATGACAAGGTAAATTATCTCTACATTCTCAGCATCTGGATGTAAAAGATCCATGGCTTCTATAAAAAACATTTGTAGGAAAGGTTCTTCTTTTCCTTGTTCGCCAAGGACAGAACAAAATTTTGCAGTAAATTAAAAGGCAATAAAATAAAAACTGTTGCCATGGTTCTCCCTTATGGCTGAAGGTTAGCCCATTTTTTAGTGTGAAATTTTGTCAGAAAACCACTAGGAAATGATAAAGACTAACCTGCCTAAAAATGATTTGCAGTAAGTTCCAAGAGTATTTCAGCACGCTAAAGAGAGGTACCCAAATTGTGAAGAAATCAAGCATATATAGTTATATCTAAGGTCAAGATATTGGTGATAAAAAAAGAAAGTTACGATTGAATTTTATTTGTAAAACTCTAGTGCTTCTGTTATGATTTTTTTTTGAATAAGTTGACTATTGTATAAGTGGATACAAAAAATAGGTAAACCTAGTGAATGGGTGCCCTGAACAAAAATCCCAAGGGGCCCAAAAAATGCTCTACATCAGAAACCAAGAATAAATGTGGGATGCAGACTTGAAAAATGACTGCAGTCGACAGGGAGGTGTTGAGACTAGCTCCTGCCCTAGCTAAAGCGTTGGCAGCAACATTGGCTTCCCTATGAATGTGTCTCAAAGGGAACCGAGTGTTGCTGCAAATATGTGTAATCTCTGCAAAAATGGGGTCCAGTCTCCAAGGGCATGATATAGCTCCAGAGGCCCAAATAATGGTGTTTCTGGAGTCACCCTCGACTATCAAGTCAGTATTCCAGTAATTAGTGAAGAGTTTGTGGTTGAGGGCCCAGAAAGTTGAGCGACCATCTCTTTTCGACAAGGACAGGGATGGGAGCTTTCTCCCCTCTGAATATCCAACTGTTTCTCTCAAGCGAAATGGTCCACAGAGTGGTGGTAATGACGGCCCTCCAGAGGAGCTTCCCTGATTTGCTCCAAGGGGTGCAAAGGCATGTAGAGAAGAGATGAGGGACTGACTGAGGGGTAACCCACAACCAGTTAAAGAGGAGAAGCAAGTCAGACCACAGAGCCGTTGCAACTTCACAAAGAAGAAAGAGATGTTGGTTCGTCTCTTTGGCCCTTGAACACATAACACATTGATTGGGTAGAGAAATACCTTTACACTGTTATTAGTCAAGGGTAAGGGCCCTGCGTGGAGAGCAATCCAACATAAGAATTGAATCTTGGGGGTTATGAAGGAGCACTAGGCCATGGTCGCAATGGATGGAGGTACCAATCTGCGGATGGGTTGTGAGGAAATGCTATGCTAGAAAGAGGCCACTGAGAGATCTCCAGAAGGAGTGGAGGACCAAATGATCGTGTCATCCCTGGAAGGGGGAAGGAACACTGTGAAGCAGGGCTGAGAGTTCCAAAAATTCTACGAGCTCATGACCTGCGACAGGTCTCCTGAAATAAGGGTTCCAAGATCTGGTGGTTCGTGGGGTAACAAAAAGCTGTCCACCATGGTCGAGAAGGGGTTGCAGGCAAGGGATGGAAACTGGTCCTTAAGTGGGGTGGAGCCAACTAAGGTGTCACACCAGAATCCAACCCTGTTACCACTACTGGGAGTAAAGTGCACCTGGTTGAGGAAGAGTTGGCAGAAGTGGAGGAGGGACCTCCAGAAGCCAGAGAAGTTGCCCCCCATCCTGCATGGGGAGCCAAGCGTAATCTTCACGACAATATTTTCATCTTATCACCTCTCTCCAAAGATTGTTGGGTTGGGTGGTGTAGCGCCACCACCATTTACCCATTAAGGCGATGTTGGATTTGAGATTGTGAATTCCAAGACCTCCTTGAGCTTTGGGTAGGCACACTTTCGCCCAAGAGATGAGATGGAATTTTGGTCTCCTTCAACCAACCAAAGGAAGTCTCTCATGAGCTTTTCCAGCCAAGGGAAGTCTCTTAAGAGGGCAAATTTTTCAAACCAAAGGAAGTCTCTCAAGAGGGACATGAAGAATAAGGGAATATTGGAGAGCGTGGCCTTAATGGGAGTCATTCTTCTGGCTGGAGATGAGAATCTCTCTTTCCAAGCAGCCAGTCGCATTTCAAGTTTGTCAATAACAAGGCTACAGTGAGGGATTCTCGGTAGGCCGAGGCAAAGTGGAAGACCAAGATAGGTGGAGGGCAGCTCGTCAACAGCACAACCCCATAGATCGGCAAGGCTTTGGACAAGGGAATGGTTAATGCAAATACCCATCATCTTAGTTTTCTCCAAGTTAAGCCTTAAACCCGTTGCCATCTTGAAACATTGGAGAAAAAGGAGAAGGCGGTCAACTTGTTGTTGGGTGGCATTGCAAAAAAGAAGAATGTTATCAGCGTATTGGAGGCAGGAGATGGAGGGGCCCGACCTACCAATGTGGAAGCCCGACAGAAGACCCACATTGTACATCCAAGAGATGGATGCACCAAATACCTCAACCGCAATTGTGAAGCGGAAAGATGACAGGGGGTCCCCTTGGAGGAGCCCTCGCGAAGCTTGAAAGTAACCCTTGGGAGTGCCATTTATAAGTATAGAGAACTGGGGTTTTTGGAGATGCACCCTTGAATCCATTTTCTTCAAATAGCCTTGAAGCCCATTCTAGAGAGGGTTTCGTCTAGGATTTCTCAATCAACATGGTCATAAGCTTTCTCCCGGTCTAGTTTGATAATTAGACTAGGAGTTTTGGAGATGAGCCAAGAATGGATCCATTCATGGGCAATTAACGCCTCATCAAAGATCTGGCGATCCTTCACGAATGCCCCTTGGGTTGGGGAGATGACCCAACCGAGGACCGACATGAGGCAAGATGCCAAGATTTTGGACAGAATCTTGTAGGAGCTATTAATCAAACTTATTGGCCTGAATATTTGATTTTTCAGCTCCCTCAATTTTAGGAATCAAAGCTATGAAAGTAGTTACATAGCCTTATGGATGGTAGCCCGGGAGTGGAATTCATTGAAGAAGGCTATGATATCTGGCTTTAAGGTGTCCCAAAAGGATTTGAAGAGGGCAATGGGAAAGCCGTCAGGTCTGGGAGCTCGTCACTGCTAAGGTTCCTAATTGCCCTGAGGATCTCATCCTCCGAGAAGGGTCGTTCAAGAGAGGCTACAATTTAAGGGGTAATGGTTGAAAAGGAGAGGTCCGCCATTTCAGGTTTAGGGCAGATTGGAGTGGAGAAGAGCTGGGACAAGTATAGGACAACAGCCTAATCAATGAGGTGTGGTTGATCTAGGATGCGGTCCCCCACTTTCAGATGGGTGATGGAATTCTCCCTCCTATGACAGTTTGCAAATTTTGTGGAAATAAGCGGTGTTTTGTTCACTGAGCTTGAGCATTTAACCTTGGCTCGCTGGGACCATTACATCTCTTCTTTCTTGAGGAGGTTTTGGTTCTCATGTGTGGCTTTAGAGTGACCCTCCACCTCAGTAGGTGAAAGGGATCTTGATTCTTCAATGGAATCCCAATGCTGTATGCACTGTAGTGGGGCATCCTTTTGCATGCAAAAATTTCCCGGTAGTTGGGAGCTTCGAGATTTGATAAAGTTCTTAAGCATTTGAAGTTTCTTCTGCAATATAAATCCAGCCCACCCTTGAGTGCTTTTAGCTGTTTTGCAACATATATCAATGGAAAACAAAGGAAACTGCCTCAAAATGAACAACAAAAGAAGGAATTACATTGACCTGTTGTTTACCTTTGTTTGGAGACAATAACAGGGTTATTTTTGAAGATTAGTAAAAGTAATAGGACAGAACAACGTTTAGGGGGAAGGTGGGAGGCACTAACTTCTTGTACTTCAAATAACCTAATTAACAAAGGTATGTAATGCAATGACCCATTAAGTTCGAACACATTACTGTTCACTACTAGTTAACTTTCCCTGTAGAGAACACAAGAGATGGTGGTGATTCTGAACAGCAAGCAAAGTTATACTGCCATTCCCAAAAACATTTGTATGTGAATGCTAGTCAATGTCCAGTTTCGCGACACCAATATGAATGCAACTAGGCTACGTAAACCTGTACACACATTTATTATCAAAGAAGCATCGAAGCATGAGCAATCCAAAATGGAGATAAGAACTCTGAAATTCACAAATAATTTTCTCACCGCATCAATGGAATCAGTTTGTGAAGAATGTCCTTGGTTTGTTCTTAATGCTGCCGCAAGCTCTTCTGCCTGTAAATACAAAGGGACCAAGCACAGGTAATATAATATGTGCAGATAAATTCATTTAAATTACTGAAGATATAAAATTTGAGGAAATAAACCTCTGAGGAAGATTGTAAAGCAGTTAAGAAATGAAATTAAGTTCTTTGCAGTAAAACAAAAAATGTTGTCAGACCAGAGTTATAGAACTTCAGAGCCTGCTTTGGTTTGACTGGGGAAGGGAAGTGTTTTGGCTCTTTAACCAATCTATGGTAAGAGCTCAGGGACGTATTAAAAAAAGAGAAAAATCGGAAAAATTTTAAAATATACATAAGCATGTCAAATAATAATTCAAAAATTATAATCTGCCACACGTGCAATTTAGTCAATCATTCTACAATTAACCTGTGACCCATTACTTCATTATTCACATTCACATGAAAGACAGAGATATACATAATAGCAAATAACCATTTGCCATCATGGAATATTAAAATCAATCCAGTTTACCATTTAAGGATTGAATTGAAATAGCCTACTAAGAAAAATATCAGTGTTATCCCTAGTAACCGCTGCGCCTAGTGTAAATAAGAAAATCTCTAACATTAAAATAACTTTTTGCCAAAGGTCCTGCATGGGAGCATGATAAAGCTTAAAGTCATAACACACTACCACTGGCTTTGCTTGTTAGTAACCTTGTCAAAGAAAAAAAAGGCCCAATAATATAAATCTTTTACTTCAACAGCTAAAAACGTAACAAAAATGCTCTTTTTATTTAAATGGAATGGTCATTCCCATATTGGATTTGAGATTTAGCTTAGGGCCAATTTTCGGACCTAAAGGCTTCTAGGCAACATAACTAAAAAATATAAAAATATTCTATCTGAAACTTCTGACAAAAGATGCTGTAAGAGGCCAAAGAGTTCACTATAGCAATTCGCTTTGACCTAGTTGCCAAAGCACAAGCTGAAAGTAAAGCAAATTTGACAACATATGGTGGGACCTTGTCAAAACATGTGAATCAGGTGAAGGACAACATTGTCTAGACAAGTAAAATTACGAGAATAAAATGTAGGGCAATCCTAAAAACACCTTACGAGCACGAGAATTTATAATTTGCTCTGCATTTTCTTCTTGGTACTTTGCGATCTTTGCTTCAATGGCAGGGATGTCTATTCCTTCCACTAAATTGAAGGCTGAAAGACAATAATGCATTAACCTCAGTAGAAACACTAATATGTAGAATCTGTAACTTTTCAAGAAACTTACTCATGTCCTCCACCTCTTCCAAGTAGTCATTGTACTCTCTCAAAGATGGAAAATCTTCTTGCCTTTTGTTGAATCTGTGCTTAATTTTCCAAAGAGGGGAAAAGTACCCCAATCAAAAAGTAGTATAAAGTCATTAATCGTCTACTTTAAGATCACTATAAAAGCTCAACAATTGTTTATAATATTCAAGGTCTAGAATATGTGGAGATTCAGAATATTCTATCTTGGTTGGAAGCAAAATATAAGGTGAAACAGTTGAGGAAAAATATCTCCATTCAAGATGCACTTCTCCAATTCATTAGCCTTTACGATGTTGCAAAGGCTTCAAAATCTTTATAGACAATGTGCACAACCCTATTTAACATTACTTGTCTAGCAATCAAATTATAGGTAGCATGAGTATGAAAAACTTAAGTCAGTCTAACTAAGATAATACAACAGAGGAAGTGTATAGACTAAACAACCACCCAAAAAAAAGGAGGGGGGGGGGTTCTGGTCCCATGTATACCCGCATGAACTGCAGGGAGGTATAAAAAGTAAGATAAGTACCTGCTTGCATAATGTTTTTCCCCTTTCTTTTCCAAAAATGCCTTTTCTTTTGCATTGATAGCCCATTAGTCCAAAACCAAAAGCATAAAATACCTCGTTTCCCCTTTCTCTCATCCAATTCTTTGAACTCTCTTTCTCTGTTCAACCATATGGGGTTGGAGGGTTGGTGAGAGAGAGAAAGGGTGGGGGCTCATGGGAATGGATGAGAGAGAGGGGAAAAGGGGTGTTCTATGCTTTTTTGGTTTTGGACTAGTGGTTACAAATAAAAGTGAAAGGGGCATTTGGAAAAGAAAAGTGTAAAATGTTATGGAAGAGGGTATTTGCCTTGTTTTTTAACTTTTGGGGGAGGGGAGGGGGTCCAAGCGACGTGAACATGGGACAAAAAATTCTGGGATGGGAGTAATCGTCTTTTTACCCTATCAAATAAGTATAAAACCTCTTACACAGTGGAATTTGCAGAGTCACAACTATTTAGTATCACAAAACAGCTACAACTAAATTACTAAAAACATGGTCTATGTTGATTGAAGTAGAACAAAAATACAATAGGCCCTTCGATAACTGAAAGCAAACCAGCAATTGCAAGAAAAGAACTATGTTTTAGTGGAGAAACCATCTGAAACCATTTTGCACATCAACATGAGAATTTCAAGCTCATATTTTAGATATCAATTTTTTTTTTTTTAATTTACAGTCTGCATCCTCAGACTCACAGAACTGATGCTGCAGTATCAATGGTTGACTCCTTGTGTGAGTTCAATCAGACTCGCCCAAGTTATTAGGGCTTGAAGGGTGCCGAGAGCGACAACCCCCAAACTAGGGGTATATAATTTCTATATTATTTCATTTATAAGTGATTTGATCATTGATTAAATCCATTATAGCTTATTTATTTTCTTATGTTTACACTTTTTTATGGTTTATATTTTTTTTTTTGCTCTTTTAGTCTGAAAAGATGATTTTTAACCACTTTTCTACTTTTTCACTATTGAAAACAGTTTTCTAATCTTTTATGTGTTTTTCCTGTTGTTTATCATTTTTTCCTTATTTTTCTGTGTTATCAGGATTTTTTCTTGTTCTTTTAAGTTTTTAGGCCATTGGGCTGCATGGGCGAGTTGACTTGAATTCACAAGTAACTTGGCCCAGGTGCCAAGTTCAGCGGTCCAGCCGTGTAGTCAAACATTGCCCAGTATTATGGTAGCATCATACTCCAACACCAATTATGACAAGTTCTTAAAGTTAACACCCAAGATCAAGTGTTCAGGACAACCACTCTGGCTAATCGAGGAATGGCTGCTCGCTTGGCTCGCCAGACAACTCTCTGCAGTCTAGATTCAAGAAATGTATTTCCATCAGGAAATACCTGTTCACACCAGGTCATGGCGTGTACTTTGTAAGTTGCCGACTAATTTGGCATCTAATGCTGAATGGGGCTAAGTAGAAGAGGGCACATAACCCATCTAGAGCTACTTTTTAAGTGAAGTATTCTTCATTCTGGAAAAGCATTCAGGTATTTGAGATAGCAGCAAACATATTTGCAAGAGAGCAGATTTGACCTTCAATTAGAGGCCAGAGAGATCCAGGGTCAATTATCTCTACCTTCCCTGGCAGTATGGAGGTCCTTATATACTTCAGGTGTGACGTCGACATTTAGAAACTCATTAAAATGGGCTGTGCAAACAATAGAGAAACATCATTCCAGATCAAGCGCTAAAACTTTAAAGAGCTTTAGTTTAAGCTGAGGGAACCAAAGATGGAAATCAGAATTCAATAACAACAACCAAGGTGGATGACCTTGGAATCAGAAAAATTTGGGAGGGAAGATAACATATTCTATGGAGACACAATTTGAAGTTTCTTGAATAGATTCTCTGACATTGTTAGTTATGAGCTACAGAAGAAGATAAGTTAATGGGATTTTCAAGGCATGCCTTTGGGCCTACTCTGCTGCTGAGCCAACTAAACATATCGCAATGCATATATATAAACTTTTCTGGGACTAGAAGGCTTAGAAGAGTAGAAGCATACATGTTACATCGGAAGCTCAGACATGCACCTTCATCCCTAAAAAGAGAAGCATATGTTTAGTAGTTGTAAACCTCTTACCCCTCAAAGGGATCACTGATATTTTTTGCATTGAACATTAATTTAGGTATTTAAGCCTAGAATAAATCTCAGCCATTTCCATTCCCAAGCTCGGATGAGAAAGGAGGGTTGTGTTAGGTTGGCAGCCATCAAAATTTTTTTGCCACATCCCTATCATAATTCATGATGTGGAACAAGATTCATGTAGCCAACCCCAAATACTTGGGATAAAGCTCCGATGATGATGACGATGATGATTAACTCTAAAAATCCTCCTACAGGAATTAATTTAGGGATTTTATATTAGAATTTTTTTTTAACAATTTGAAAAACAAAAAAAAGAAGGAAAAAAAGAGCCTAGAATTACTCTCAAGCATTCAAATGTCACTTTTTTTAGCATGGAGTTTTTTACAAATAACCCAAGTTTAGGTTTATTGCTTGCCTAGACATGCTAATACTCAACAATCCCATTCCAACTGACGGCTTCATCTCAATCCTATTCATAAGTTCCAATCATTATTGAATCACATAGATGCAATCAGCATGCAACTAGCAATTGGATCAACTTTTCATTAGGTGAGGGGCCAAATAAAGTGCCACCAAACGATACAAAAACTGATCAACACCATGCATCCATGTGAGCGTTTAAAACTTTCAAAAAAATTTAACAATTATCCCATGTTGACATAAAAATATTTTTTGTAATGTGCTCTTGTTGTATTCAAACGACATACAAACAGTGGGGTGCTAATGAAAGATCAAAATCGCCTTAAAGTACATAGCGTGAGTGATTAAAATACCACTTATATGTGCACAATTACGGCCCAGTGTATAGAAGATACAGCTTCTATAAAAGTGCTCTCAATGGTCATCATAGTTGTGCAGTAATGTACTGTCCCAAGAAATGCAATCTTTCTAAATCCAACGACCACCACTGGCAATTTTGAAAGGCAGAATAGCAACTATCCAATAAACGAATCAGATGAAGGGCATGAAATTCATCATTGTATGATACCAGAAAACAGGATAGCAGCTACTGTAGAGGAGGAAACAAAGAGATAATTTTCTAGAAAAAAAAGGTGCATATAGATCAACATGCATATGAGACTTTGTGGTCACTATAGAGACTCAAGTTTAGTGGATTAACAAGTGGAGCAATAGATTCCCAATGATCACTTGAAAGATTTTAAAGTCATAAGGCATGGAGCACCCTTACAATATGAGGGCAGCCATTGAGATGAGGATGGTAGTGGACATAAAGACAGTGCCTGTAAGATAACAGAAGCATCGAGGATAAAGGGACAACACACATTTAAGTTAAAGAGGAGCCATGTGATAGATGTGTAACACTTTTACAAGATTGATATTCAAATCCTGGTGAACAAGTGCATTCTCAGTAAATGAAACAACACGTGACTTTGTCCCAATACAATCCTTACAGGTGCATGCCTAGGGAAAATGTATTCACGAAAGTAAGGATTGAAGAAATAAGGAAGATTTATGAACAGGTGATACCTACTTGTTGCTACTGGTGAAATACAGCATTTATGGTTTAAATCTCCTGAAATAAACATCTAGTGACAAAATAGAAAGACAAAAAGATGAAAAGACTATACTTGAAACTCTTGAAAACAGAAAAGCCAGGACTATATTTTCAAGACATTACTGAAAACATTTTGCAATTGATAACCACACGAAGGACAGAAACAATCAGCTATGCAAAGAACATAAGGTGTGTCACAACTGAAGAATTTTTGCTAGATTATGGAATCGCCATTATGTCGCTTACAGCAACCCATTATAAGATATTCTAGCTATAAGAGTCCCATAGAACTTTTTCCATTGTCTTTTCTAAGTGCAATTCCAGATTCTATTGATGTTCAAAACTCAAATATGCAGATGTGCAACAACAAAGACATCCTAAAAAACATTCTAGGATCTTGAAATATGTGTTGCACACTAAGATACATAAATATGGATACAGATATGGGCACAATATGGGACAAGGATACAACTTGGCATATCCCAAAATTTAGAGCACTAAAATGGATGGGATGGGGGCACCCAATCTGAATCAATGATAACCATATGTAGCTTATATAGTTCATAAATATACATCTTCAACACATTGATACGCATATATACCTTATTGTAATGCATGACTTTTATATTTTAATTCATACTACTTTTTATATTTATGCTATTCTATGTTCACGAGAAGTCAACAAGTTTCTGGCATTGGTATCTGTGTGATGCCATTTCAATGCTGGTAAGTTGGATGTAATACAAGTATCTACGTATTTATTAAAAATAGCAAAAGAAAGGCAATTCCATCAAAATCCACCTAAAAGTTGAAGTATGTAACATTTTGAACTAGGTGTAATTTGATAAATTTCAGAACCCATTTTGGTGTGTCATTTGATGGGTTAATTGAAATTGATCAAAAGAACGATGGGCTATCTGAAATTGGATTAAAAAACATATGTACAATGTTCAATAGTTCAAAAACTTTGGGATAGTTTGATAAATTTAGCCAAGAAAAAAGTAACACGTATCTTGGGTTGTACATATGGAATATTATCCTCCATGTGGACAAGAAAAATAATTTAATGTATTATACTATGCAGAATTTTTTGAGAAAGAAATGTCACACATCAATTGCCTCCTATCCCTTATTTCCACCATATGATTTATGCTCACTTTGATAAGAAATGTTTAATAATGAAGCATCATAAGGTCATAAATAGACTGGGCTCTTAGTTACCGGGATCTTCTAAGGGTTCGCTTCCGCTCCGAAGCTTGATCCTGCGCCTGAAGACACAGGAGCTTGATCCTGGGCGATTCTGTGATATTTGGGATCACTCAATTTCATGTAAATGGGATCCAGATACCGATGCCAAAACCCATGGTTCCATGATCACGCGGAACCATGATTCAACCAACATGGAATCGAGTATCCTCTACTTTGGGAGCAAGTTTCACCGGCACATGTTTTGGTTCAATTACAATGGAGTGTGGATCTCCAATTTTTTAATGCCAAAAACTTTGTGAATGCCATGATTTCCTACATATTGTGTAATACACAACTATATACACCTTGTAATTTGTAATACATGTCTAGTTTCAAAGAAAGGCAACAAGTGTGGACAAGGAGAGAGAAGGAAGATGCTAGAAGGAGATACAAAAGCCAATCGCATTTAGGGGTGGCAATGGACCTGACCAGACCCTAGACCAGGCAGGTAGACCCGACCTCGGGTCCGGGTACGGGTCCAAATTTTGGAACTGAATACTATTCGGGTCCGGGTCCAGGTCTAGCCGGACCCAACCCGTAACCGTAGTCATAGGGTATATGATGCAATCATGTGTCTTTAGGTGTGTGCTAGGTGTTCATATTGTCACAATATTGGCAACATTTACAGTAGTATTAGCCAAAAAAAGAAGCTCATAGTCATAGGGTATATGATGGTAAGAAAAAAGGCAAAAAAAAAAACCTCATAGTCATAGGGTGGCAATGAATCCGACCAGAACCGGGACCCGACTAGTTCGGGTATGGGTCCAAATTTTGAACGGGTCTAGGTCCTCACCCCTATTCGCATAGCGGTTTTATTGAGGAATTAGAACGCGATCAATACATTTCACTTTATTGGGGCTTGTTCATTGGGTCATGTCCACCTCCTAGAGGGCTTATCATTTGAGTGTTGGTTAATCAATTCAAGCCACTCGTTGGGTTGCCTTATGGGTTATGGAATATCATGTATGCTTGGAAAATGTGAGGTCCCTCTTATGTATATATCATTGAGCCCCTAGCAATTCACCTTGGATGAGACCTATTGGGAATTATATAGAGTAATGTCTTTTCTTTTTCCTTGTTTTCCGAAGTAGAGCTTAGCTATTACGGCATTTCTTTTTTGGAAACAATGTAACACAACTTTCTTAAATGTAATCATAAATCAATATTTGAGTGGTCATTGTTCAATCCAACTGATTGGTGCCAAAAAAGAGGACATGAGCAATTTTTCACAGTGAATCTTGCCCAAGTAATTGTTTTTATCAAGGTATGACAAAGTTTTTGTCAACAGCTCAAAGGTTAAGATGAAATAGATTTGTGTTATACAACCTTTTAATGGTGCATTATTACCCAATGAAAATACATCAAGGGAGTTGAGAGAGTTTATTGACAATAGATCACAATGTTCTGCATGGACTTTGAAGAGAATGGGAGCCCACAAGAGTCCCCAATGATTGTATCGCAAAGAGAGAGATAGAGAGAGAGAGAGGGAGGGGGGAGGGAAGGGGGAGGGGGGAGGGAGGGAGGGAGAGGGAGGGCGAGATCACCAAGGTCAAGGACACAAAGCTCTTTTGTGCTTGAAGACTCAAGCAGACTATATTGGATTCTAAGTATCACTACTTGTATGAAATCATACTCCGATGACAAGAAAATCCAAAGAGAATGTCAATGACATGATTCTTGTTTATGTTGGCACTTGGATTTGTGAATTTGGATAAAGTTAAACATATTGTTCATTAGAACTCACATCCAAATTACAATACAAGGGAAAGTGAACTTCAAGAATGTCGATCCTACACACAGTGAATTGCGATCCCATTTATGAAGAAACAAGCTCCTATGCAGATAAGAAACACGCTCCTATGCAGATATGGAACACACTCCCTGAAAGCTAGGGATCTCGATCCCTTGACATGATCATGTACAAATCTCGTTTCCCCAACCATGGACTTTGAGCCTACCTTGCTCAGCGCTTCCGCTCCCGATCCCAGATCTCTTGTCACTCCCACTGCGGGTAATTATGAATGGGCTATCTAACCAAGAGGCTCCAGCAGTCAATACTAGTTTTGGCCATCAAACACTTAGTGTTGTGGGCCCCATGGTGGACATGTTACATGGCCAATATAAAAGTCTAACTAGCTCATGCACTTTAGGGAAGATCTCTACAAGACTTCACTGGTAAAATGGCCAAATGGTAAAAATGACCAAGTTAGTTTCCACAATCAGAGAACTCAACAATGTTCTTTCACAGATTATGAGTTCTATAAGCAAAGCATGAGCCGCTGCCCCTGAAGAATAGAATATCCCCATTGTGCCATAGTAGCCAGAAATAATCTTCCCAACACTATCCCAAAACGTAACCTTTAAACCCTAATGTTTACTTCATATTACATTCTCAAAAAAAAAAAATGTTTACTTCCATATGGATTAGGATCACCAAGTCAGATCCATCAAAATTCAACGGAATGATGTCCAGCAGTGGAAACACCACAACTCAGGAGAGGCCATTAAATACGTGTCTTGATGTCCATCAAGACATTTATTAAAGGGCGCAATTTCTGTAAGGTTGCAACCTTAAACAATGAAATTAAGACGCACCTTAAAATTTTATCATAACATGTAATTTTGTTGTAAAAAATTCTTAGTATTATCTTAAAATCTATTTTCATACCTAATTAGAAAATTTTAAAATCCAAAAATGGTTAATCAAGTAGATCTATAAATATATGAAAATATTGAAAATGAACAGTCTAGATAATGTGTGGCAAGATGCACTATTTCCAGGACTCAAAAACTTTTTGTTTTCATATTCATACATCTTGATGTCAAGATGATTGATTAGAGGGTTTTTTCGGTTTTTTCAACATTAAAACAACATTTCCGATAGATTTTTGAGGTGCATATGTGATTCTACATTTTAAGGTTGCAACCTTATTAAAACTTTTCCCTTTATTAAATATATGTGATAAAATTCCCAAGTTTCGAGAGGAACATTTTGTTTTTATACATGGTAAGCTTATGCTTTCGAATTAATTACATTAGTTCATATCCATGCTTAGAATTCTAAGGCTATAAGAAGCTTCCATCCAACTTCCATACCAGTGTATCGAGATGTGGCTGCATCCATTCGGACTCAGATGAGTAACTCGGCCTTGCCCTATAGGCTAGGTGGGTTTTTCGCTATCATGCTATACACTTGCAAGTGTATTTTTTTTTTTGTGTGTGCGTGTACATATACAGATATATTAATGCATCCCTATTAATTCAAAACCGATGAAATGGCCTCTTGGTAGGTTGCCCAGTGTGCTTGCCATTGTGGTGGGTGCTCAAAACCCCCCACAAACACCGCTCACTTTTTTTTTTAAACCCAGCGCTTTATTAGGAGTTAATAAAAAAACGAGTTCAGAAAGTTTCCTTAGTGGGAATCGAACCTGAGACCCAGTGGAAAGCCGCATACAAAGAGCCAAGGTTAACTAATATGCCATCTATGTTTGACGTTAGAAATGGGGAGGTTATATATTCTATTTTATTTTATTGTCATCATTCTAATTTTTTTTAACTTGGGCTGTACACAGGTGAGTTAATCAGCCTTGCCCGAGTAACTCAGCTTGGCCAATGGGCGAGTACTCTGGCTGGGTCGAGTCCCGGTACCATGTTCCATAATATCAAACAAAGAATGAAATCAACTCATTTTTCTGATCTACTTAGTTTCCATCCAGCCCAAGAATCACATTCAGAACATGATTGAAGAAACAAGGAGTCAACAGCTAGTTACATTCGAGAAATCCATAAGATAAGTGTAATCAAACATAAGTCAACACAATCCCAATAACTAATTTGCAACCAAAATCTCGATTTGAAATCCTCACTAAATAAAGCTCAGCTACTAATATCCCAAAGAACAAAATCATAAATATAAAGATCTGATTCAGAAATATAACTAATATTTTACATCTAACAACAAGATCATCCAATTTATGGTGCCACTAATTAATATCAGATACGATTTCTCCCAAAAAAAAAAAAACAAAAGAACTATTGAACATAAGAAAAGTACCCAAGTGGCAAGCTATTAACCTCAAAGAAGAGAGTACTAAGACCAGTTGTAGTATTACAGTCTGAAGACACTGAAAGAAAATAACAGCACAAACCTCAAAATGAAAACACAGAACTGACATGATACAGCTTTTTTGGCATAGAATATCAATGGTTTGACCAAGAAAAATGACATTAACAAATA